GTAAGAGTTAAATAACAAAATACATCAGTTTCTGTCGATTCCTCTACAATTCTCAATCTTTCACTTTTGCATAGCGATTCGCGAATTGGACACGATAAGCGCAAAATTTCTCCTTCACGATATCTTCCATCAATTGAAAAAGTTACGTCATTCTATCGAAGTCTTGATAAAATTTCTCATTGGGTTTCTACCTCCGTCTCAGCGGTACTTCTTCGGTAATTCTTCGTCGTAAAATTAATTTTCGGCAACATCAAAATGCGCAACATGAAAGAAAAGCACGAATAAGAGATACAAAACAGAGGCTTATGAGAAATATGAATATAAATTAGCAATGACAATTGTATTATAATAATTATAATACAGGAAGACAGTTCTTAAAAAAGTTTCGCTTGCTGCATCAAAACAGAGTCTTGTATATCCCAAATTCTTAAGATTTTGAACATTATAATTTTATTTATCAGATATTGCTTGAAACTTTAACAGCATGTGTTTCAATTCTATTTATAATCGTACGTTAAACAGTTTCGCGAAGAGCCAGGAAGGAGGCTCTTGCGAAATTGATCGTAAGTTCTAGTATCGACAGATGCTTTCACACAGTTTGTGTGCCAGGCGCATATTTATAACGAATTGAATGTCTCTCATTGAACTCCAGTGGAGTCTTGTGTCATTTGAACGTGGCATAAATAGCGAATAACAAGTGTGTGTGTTTGGCATAATAAGTAAGGAGAGAATCAAAGGCTTGCTCATGGGGCTGAAGTCCACTTGACTCTGAGGAAGATCGATCCTCGGGGAGTTGAATAAATAGACGATATGCAACATCGCCCAGTCGTTTTAGTAAGCCGTGCCTCTCATCGCGCGCGCATATCAGAGTTTATTAATAGCCGCATACACATACACAAATAACAGATTGATCAAGATCTTTTTGTAAATGCGAATCATCTACGGTCTCACGAGGTGAAGAGTTCAGCGAAAGAGACGAATAAGGGACAACAAGAGACAAGCGCGTGGCGCTGTTTTATTATAAATTTGAATTTCATTAGAAATTTGTTTTATTATAAAATTAAATTTCATCAGAATATTGTTTAGCCAATGAAGTTGGCTAAACAATATTCTGATATATAACTTGCCCTCTGAAAATCACTCCTCGCTTCGTTGATCTTCAGATAACACAAACAACAACATTTTATTGGTTCAACTTCGGTCTCATCGTCGAGTGTAAACTTTATACTTTTGAAACTTTTGACTTACGTTAGAACTTCACACAAGGTAAATTATATGGCAAAATCTTAAGAAAATATTTTTATCTTTGATACAAGAAAACGTAAAATTATATCCTGCAAGAAATTAATCTTACAAAAAATTAAAAAAGACATTTTGTGTGATGTTATAATAAATAATTAATTATAACTATTTTGTGTGAGTTATAAACAAAATAAAGCTATTTTATTCAGTAAGAAAGGCCTATCACAATGAATGTATACTATGTTTGAATTACTAGTATATACATATACTTATCAAAGAGGACATTGCAATTTTGATATGTCTGGTATGTTCGTTATTACATTATTGTATCGGAAATTAATAAACACAAATATCAGGCAGTGATTAATGAAAACTAATGTGTGTGTGAGTGTATAAATAACTATTATTATTGGTTGCATTTGGCAACAATAAATTTTCCAATATGTAAATATAGTATAACAGATGGTTATATTCACAATCAGAAAATTTATATTAATTTCAACGATATTCTTATAGAAAGCGAAGTGTAGCTATTTGCTATATTTCTCCTGAAAGACAGGAAATTTCTACAATCTCTAATAATCGGTCGGCTTTAAGATTGCCAACGATGCGTCATATGATCGAAACGCTTTGGAAAATGTAATTTTTTCGCGATGGAAATGTCGACGATCAAAAAATGATTTGCCATCTTATCATCAAAAACGTATTTTTATAGAAAAAAAGATATTTTATTAATAATTAAACACCCACACAACACAATAATTTACATTTCTGATAATGTTTAATTAATACAAAAATGTCTCTAATTTTGACGCTTGAGAAAAATATTATAGTATGCAATTTATATGTTATTAATCCGTAGCCATTTTTGTTGCATTTATTAAATTTATTCAACAGAAATTAAATTATACTTATCTGAAAACAAAAGTTTATTTTATTTTTATTCCATTCATTTTATTTAAATTCAATTTTATACAATTTATATTCCACATTGTGTGTGACAGAGAATATGCTATCACATAAAAAAATACAAATGACTTGACTCTAGAAATAAATTAATAATCTTGGCATATACTAACCAGAAAAGAATGTTATTATTACAATTTTCAAAACGTTTTTCTCTCTTTAGATCTCGAACATTAGTAAATTTGTTTCAATAGAAACTTATTCATACGTAAAAATTGAAGTTACATTCTGGTACGCCCCGTCCGATTGCATGAGTATCTATTGGATTATTATTAATATTTCCAATAATTATATTTTAATCTATTTTAAAAGATAAATCACATTTTTGCATATATTTTGATATAAACATGATTTTTAATGCATACTAAAAGCTATTATAAATAAAATACTATATGCAAGGCCATGTTTTATTTTATATGACCAAAGGAATATTTATGTGTTTCAGAATAAATTAAATATTAAATTAAATGAATTTTTATATCTATTTTTATCAATCTCAGCTTGATCAGTGATGCAAATGCAATATATGTGTGGGTTCATATATTGAGACATGCCCGCGTGGATATTATAATAAAATCCATAAAGGATATATAAGTGAATCAATAGAATATGTAATAAATAATCGAACTATTCGACCATACTTTGATCAAAATTTTCCATTTAAATTGCTTCGCAAATTACAGACTTTGAAACTTTAGAACTTTGAAATTCGACGATGGAATAATTTCGAACGTGTTGCGCTATATGTTGACGCTTAGATTGAGACAGCTGAACGATCGTCTCTTAAGGATCTCGTTTCTTGATAATAAATTTATATAATGGTGAGAAATATGCCGGAGACGTGCGAAGAAAATTGAATTTATACTTCCATCAATTTTAGATTAAAAGGCAATATTTATCGAAAAAATAGTTGTGAATAATCTTCTTATTTGAGAATATATTTTCTTCGTGATTAATTATTTATACCCAGCAAGAGAGAGATTGAATTTTTCTACAACTGTTTTTTTTATTTTCTTTTCAAGATAAGAACGATATATCACTGCAATGATAACTAGTTGTAATTATTGCAATGATATTACAATAATTTTTATTAGTTTGCAGACGATCAGGACTGAAGTAGCTTTAAAATGGGGAGATGTAGGTTCTCTTTTGGGTACTCTTTTCATGTTAAAAAACGAAGCCTGGTCTTTTTTACCTTATAGAGTGATCCATTTTACCTCGTAAGTGGAATAAAAGGGATCAAAATCAAGTTTCGCATAAAATTTAATAAACTTCAAATTTTTATATATTTTCAAAAATTTGGTATTTTATTTGTGTCATGAATATTCCGAAGCATCTTATCTATATCTTCATGTAAAAGTCCAAACATTTTTTTTTTAATTTTAATGCAGGGAATATGGCCATTTGATTTAAAAAATTCGACTTATCTTACTTTTAATTTCTCAATTATATTTTTTAATTTTTAAATATTTTAATTTATACAATGATATATAAACTTTGTGCATTACTTTTTCCTTCGTGTGCTATAATTTCCATATTGTTTCAATAGTGAGATATTATTCTATTTTATTGTTGCTATAAACAATTGAGAAACAACGAATCCAACTTAAAAACGCACGTAGGAAAATAGCAATAATTAATACTTTCGCTAGCGACAAATCAACTTTATGTTTGCCAAAGAATCTGCAATAAGAAAAAAGACAGATAGATAGATCGCGGATTGCGGAAACATACAATCGTGATATTGAATCTCTTTCTCTCTCTCTCTCTCTCTCTCTCTCTCTCTTTCTCTCTCTCTCTCTCTCTTTCTCTCTCTCTCTCTCTCTCTCTCTTTGCACGACAATAAGCAACGTGAATAAGCAAAACAAAGCCCTTATTAGTGCACTATGTATGCATCTAGCTAGTTGAATCTGTACTGTTATACGTAATGCTATGCATATGAACACGGTATACGTACATGGTACAAGGCAAAGTTAAAGGAAAGCATCTTTTAGATCCTTTTATAAAATAATTGGATAAACTATACAAAGAGTTTTTCTTATAATAAACTTATAATAAATAGATTAAGTTTTTATTTATAATATTAATATTTGAACGAATAAATATGACCATTTTTCGACTGTTTTATCTGTTTTTTTTTTAAGATTAATGTTATTTATAATAAAACAAAAAGGTGATTTGTATA